AATTTCAAATATAAGAATTAATATTTAATAAAATAATTTTAAAATTTAAATTAAATTTTATTCAAATAAAATTATGTTATTTAATATTAAAATTCTAATTCGTTTTGGAGTTAATATTGATATCACTATTTTTTTTTTTTGATCGGAAAACTTTGCACATATTTTATTCGAAAAATAGCATGAAACAGGAGATTACAACTTAAGCGATAGGCTTTTCCCCTATTATAGTATGTGTGAGGCTAGCTGGGACTTCTTCTATCCAAAATTCATCAGCTTCAGCATGCAGGGCACGTTTCGCAAGCTCGTGCGCTACCGCATTACCTTCTCGTCGTACGTGTTGGACATGGCAAGAAAGGAACGAGGTCATTAACCGTTTGCAATCTAACAGAACAGCACCTAAACTTGAATGGAAGCTAAGTGTCGAACTGTTTAATGCTATCACAATACTCGCACAATCGGATTCCAGTATGATTCTCCTGAAAGAGAGATTTTGAGCCCACCGCAAGGCTTGCCGCAGGCTGCAGGCCTCGGCAATCTCAGCAAGCACTAGACCTTGTCCCTTACAAACCATAGCCGCCATCACTTCACCCAAAGAGTCCCGCGCAATTGCACCCATCCCATGCACACGCTCCTCATCAAATGTCGCCCCATCCACATTAATTTTTATGAGGCCTACTCCTAGCGGTTTCCATCTCATTTCCATGCGACGTTGGACTACCGCGGCTCCTCTCCCCTTTGAAACTGTCAAGCGTCTATACTCATTTAGAAAAAGGAGGCTCTGCTCAACAATAACCTGAGGGCTGGTGATCTTACCATTCCACAGGGCATTGTTCTTGCAATTCCATAGCTTCCAGCACACCACACAGAAAAGCTCCAAGTGTTTTGTCCCCAAGACAACTACTACAATGTCAAAGGCTGCTGCAAACGTCTCTACACCAAGCTCAGACACCTTAAGAGTGAAAGGGCACCCCAACCAAACAGCTCGAGCAGCAGGGCAGGTCATGAGGCTATGTAATACAGATTCCTGCTCCAAACCGCACACTGGGCATTCAGGATCTACCATAATCTGTTGACGGTGCAAGTTGTCCTTAGTTGGCAAGATATTGCAATAGGCACTCCACAGCAGCAAGCAAACTTTCTTAGGAATATCAAGGGACCATAGATGCCTCCCCTGAAAGCCTGAAGATGAGCTCGCCGGAAGACACGGATTTCGCTGCATTTCAATGGCCATATGATAACCGGACTTGACAGAATAAGAGCCATGTGTCATGTAATTTCAAGCCCAGCTATCATGTTGCCCCATCCAACTCAATGGAAAGGAGAGAATGAGTTGGGCCTCATAAGGATTGAAAGTTTCCATCACTAGATCTCTTCTCCAAGTGTGAGTGTTGTCATCAATAAGATCACAGACATATTCAAGATCACAGTTCTCCGGTCGGGGCAATTGAACATAGTATTGAGAGTTACCTGGGATCCATGGGTCACTCCAAATCCGTGTATTACGACCATCTCCGATCAGCCTCCGACAACCGTGCTTCAAAAGATCCAGTGAGTGCCAAATACTTCTCCATGTAAGGCTACAGGATGGTTTAAGGTTAGCATGTAACAAATCAGATCGAGGAAAATATTTCGCTTTCAAGACTCTTGCAGCCAACGAATCAGAATTGACAAGCAATCACCATCCTTGCTTCCCCAACAAAGCAGTGTTAAATTCATGCAAGGCCCGAAATCCAAGGCCCCCCATATTCTTTGGGATCGCAAGCCGTCTCCACTCCATCCAGTAGATCTTGTGCTCATCATCTCCTCCACCCCACTAGTACCTGTTCATAATCCTTTCCAATTCTGTACAGAGCCCCGTAGGGAGGAGAAAAGTACTCATAACATACATAGGCAAAGCTTGTAACACAGACTTTATTAACACTTCCCGACCTGCTTTAGATAAAGGTTGTTCTCTCCAATCATGAATTCACATCCAAAAGCTGTTCTTTAGACCAGAAAAGGCTGCTGTCCTGGATCTGCCAACTTGGGATGGGAAGCCGAGATACCTCCCTGGGTTTTCTGTCTCTTCCATTCCCAGAACATCAAGAATCTTAAAACAGGTCTGTTGGTCGACATTTGGACTAAAAGTGACAGAAGATTTGCGTAGATTAACCATCTGGCCCGATGCTGCTTCATACTTCTTGAGTATATCCAACAAATTTTGAGCCCCCGATTCTGATGCCCTTAAGAACAAGAAGCTATCATCAGCAAAAAAGAGATGAGAAATCCTAGGAGCCTGTCTGCAAATCCTCACTCCACGCAAGAAATTTCTCCTCTCAGCCTCCTTGATCATGGCTGTTAA